CATGTCTTGTGGGCAGTGGCTGTGTACAGGAAGGGAAGCACAAATATTTGAAGGGCAGAGTGACCAGGACTTGGCAAGGGACAGAGGTGAGGGGTCAAGGAGAGACAGGCAAGACAGACCTCTTCCTTCAGCTTCAGTCTGGCTCTCAGGGCGAAGAACTGGGCTTGGAGATGTGGGGCTGAGGTTCAAGGGGGCCTCTAGCTCTGTGGTTTGCAGCAGACGATTAAGTGTCAGAGCTGGATGTCTGAGGGTTTTCTCAGCCTTTTTTTATTTTTTTTTAAGCTTTGAAGTGTGCATGCAATTCAGTGAATTTTAGTGTTTAGAGTTGTACAACCATCACCACTATCTAATTTTGGAGCATTTTCAATACCATAAAAGGAAACCTTATGTCCATTTACATCCACTCTCTTGGCCTCTTAAATGGATTAATTCTAACCCTACCTCCAATAGCACCACTTTACAGCTCAGGAAACTGAGGCTCAGTGTCTGCTGCCCTAAGGGCTGGAAGCCCCTGACATTTTAACAGCATTGCCAAGTGACATTTTAGGGCCTCTTGAGAAGGGAATAGTGACCTAGAGCCCTCAAGACTCCCTCCTGGGGAGCCTGGGAGTGAGGGGAGGGGTGGGGCTCAGTGCTAAGTCACAACTCACCAGGCTCTACTATAAAATTCCACTGGCTCAGAATTCTCTCACCTGGTTCAGACTAGATACCCTGACCTGGGAAAACTGAGCCCACAGGCTGTGTTTTCAGGGGCTATTCAGAGTTGCATTTTGAGTGTCTGTGGGTTCTTAACATTTTTAACATTTCGGGGGATCACACAGCACAGTTGGAAACTCCTTTCTCTTAAAAGCAGACTCCTGAAAGGCCTTGAATCAGTGTGTGTGGTTTAATCTTATTCTTTCTATAAATACAGAGTACCTACTGTGTGCCAACAGCATGATGGGAACTAGGCAGACAAAGGTCCCTGACTCCTGGACTGACATTCCGCAGGGGGAAAACGAGGAGAAACAAGCTCACTGAGTAGATGACCTTGTATGTCAGAGGGCGAGGAGTGCTATAGAGAAAAATGAGGCCAAGATAGGAGAAGGGATAGCAGGAGTCTTTCTAAAACAATCTGTAGTGGACTGGGCAGCTGAAATTTACTGCATGCAATTTCACTGGACTCCTGGTAATAGGCTCTGTGTTTCTTTTCCACTTTCCACTCTTAGATGCTACAGTAAATAAAGAATTGTTCTGCCCCTTCGTAACCACTTGGGGACTTCTCACTAGTTTCCCCTGAAGTTCTTAACATTCCTATATGGCTTAGGTGGTTCGGGGTATGTTTGCAGGGGAGAGTGGAAGGCTCCCCGGCCCAGGTGTGGTGCCCCAGTGCTCCCTGCTGGCAGGTGTCTTGTCCAGCTCATAGGACACTCCTTCCTTTCCTCTCCCCCAGCATTCCCAGAATATGTGGAGCTAACACCCCTGCCCCAGTGGCAGCCTGTGGGTAAAAACTTCACCCTACACTGCAAGGTGAAGGGAGGTGCACCCCGGAGCAACCTCTCCGTGGTGCTGCTCCGAGGGAAGGAGGTGCTGGGCCGGTGGCCTGTGGAGGGGCATCCCGCTGAGGTCACCACCACAGCGCTGGCACGCAGAGAGGACCATGGCGCCAATTTCTCTTGCCGCACGGAACTGGACCTTCGTACTCAAAGCCTGGGACTGCTCCAGAACAGCTCAGCTACCAGGCAGCTCCAAACCTTTGGTGAGTCATTGGGAAGTCTGCAAGAGGACAGGTTCAGGTGGTGTTCCTGCTTGGGATGTGGGGTTCCCAGGAAGGAGGAGCTCCTGGCTCTAAGGGTACTGAGAAGGGAGTGACCTAAATTACAAATACTTCTGGGAAGACCATGTTCTTGGCCACTGGGGTGGGGTGTTGGGAATGGGGTGCCTGGACCACAGGATCTTCTGAGAAGGTTGTGACCCAGGGTCACGGGCAAGGGGTGTCACGTGTCCTGGGTCAGAGATGACCAAGGTCACAGAGTCTCCTAGGAAGAGGAGTTCCAGGTGTTGGGATGAAAATACTATAGGAAAGGGCTTCAGCCCCCCTCTGTTCACACCCATCTTCTCTGGTCAGTCCTGCCAGAGATCGGCCTACATCTTGCTACTCCCCGAATCATGGAAGTGGGCACGCAGTTGCCTGTGAACTGCACCCTGGATGGGCTGTTCCCAGCCTCAGAGGCCCAGGTCTACTTGGCACTGGAGGACCAGAGGCTGGAACCCACAGTCAAGTACAGCAATGACTCCCTCTGTGCCACCGCCTTGGTCAGGGTGAATGCAGGGGAGGAAGGCATCCAGCAGCTGAAGTGTACAGTGACACTGGGAAACCAGAATCAGAGCACTAGGGAGACTGTGACCATCTACAGTAAGTAGAGACTGGGTGGGGCTTCTGAGGGGTGGAGCCAGGACTAGGGGCAGGGCTCACTGTGTGCATGTCCTCCAGGCTTCCCAGCTCCCAACCTGACCCTGAGCGAGTCGGAGGTCCCGGAGGGGACTATGGTGACAGTGGAATGCAACGCCCATCCTGGAGCCGTGGTGATGTTGAATGGGTCCCTAGCTGGGACTCTAGGCTCAAGTGCCCGGTTCACATTGAATGCCAGTGAGGAGCACAACGGGAGTAACTTCTCATGCTCTGCTGTCCTGGAGGTGGACGGGATAAAGCTGTACAAGAACAAGACCCAGAAGCTCCTTGTCCACTGTGAGTGGGGCTGCGGGAAAGTGACCCCTAACCACCAAGGCCCAGCCCCTAAGACTTCATAATCTCCTCTGGGGCCTACCGCACTGGCACCCTGGGTTCCCTAAGTACTCCAGTCCTACATGGTGAGGGGTATTCTGGTCTCTGACCCCCTGTCCCCCATCTTGCTCCAGATGGCCCCCGACTAGACGAAAGTGATTGCCCAAGAAACTGGACTTTGCAGGAAGGCTCCCAGCAGACCCTGAAGTGCCTGGCCAGGGGGAACCCCACCCCCCAGGTGAAATGTCACCGGATAGGGGACAAGGCTTTGCTGTCCATTGGGGTCCAGAAGACTGTCAAGCGGAATATTTCGGGCACCTACAATTGTCAGGCCAGTGGCTATCATGGTGTGGTCACCTGTAAAGTGGTTGTGAACGTGAACTGTAAGTGTTCCAGTGTTCAGGGCTGGGCAGGACAGGGGCAGTGAACCTGGCTCAGTCCTCACCTCCTCCTATTGTTCTCCCTACAGACCATGACCAGAATAATAACATGGTCATCATCATTATAGTGGCAGCTGCTGTCTTCTTGGTCACTGTGAGCACAGCTGTTTACCTCTATAACCGCCAGCGGAAAATCCGGGAATACAAGCTACAGAAGGCCCAGGAAGCATGTAACATAAAGCTGAACACACCACCCTGAGCCTGTCCCTGGACAGGGCCTTCACCGGTGGCAGCTGCACTACACTGAACAGTGGTGGACATTTGACATTCAGCTGCACCCACCGTCCTGGGATGCCGGAGCACAGGACAGAGGCCTTAGCCAGAGGACAGACAGCATTGAGGGTCATGGCACCTGCACACTCAGGACTCACATTGGACTTGTAGCCACAGGACTTAGCCACGACTCCAGGGCAAGACTAGGGGCATGCCTGTCAGGGGTGTCACAGGCTGACCCAGCCTGAGAGATGTGGTGGAGACATATACCTCCAACATGGGGACACCTATCTGGAAAGCACTGAAGTTCACTCCCTGCTGCATGAACTGAGGCCCTACAGTTCTGAGAAAGAAGTGGCCCTGCCCAGGCACGGGCAACATTGAAACACAATTCTCACACTTCTGACAGAGGCCCCCGCTCTGGCAGTGCTGCCTACGGACTGGCTCCAGCTTTGGATGATATATTTATTCGTGTGTTCTTTTTCCAGATATTTATTAGTGCCTTTTATGTGGGGTGGGATGGTAAACAAGACAAACAGAAGTTCGTGCCCTTGGGAAGATTTCAGTCTAATCTCATTCAGAGTTGTCAGGTACAGCTGTATTGCCTACGCACTGCACAGGAGCGCCTTGTAAAAAGATCAGGTTGGGTGGAATCTCCTGCTCCATTGGCCAAACTGCTTTCCCTCAGAAGGGGACTGACAAGGTTTAGCTGGTGACAAGCCCAGGGACAACCCACAGGGCTCTTAATCCCCAGCACTGGTGCTAACCTCTCTACCCATATGCATCTCTGCGAGTGCTCACACTCAGTGGCATGCCTCAATATGAGAGCCCACTCCCTGACAGCTAAACCATGGGGTCCCGCCCTGGCCAGGATAGCTCTCAGTTGATTAGAGCATCATCTGGATACGCTAAAGTTGTAGGTTTGGTCCCTGGTCAGGACACATACAAAAATCAACCAGTGAATACATAAATAAATGGAATGACAAATTAATCTCTCTTTCTCTATAACCCTTCCTCTTTCTCTCTAAAATCAATAAAATAAAAAACAAAGCATAGTTTCTCATGAACATGTGCCCAACCCCTGTGCCTCCTGCTTTGTCCTTGTTTCCATCTCGATGGGACAATGCTAAGAACAAACCTCTGGCAGCTCCAAATCCCTGAGGGTCCTGCAGGCAGTGGGGAGGACGGCCTCCCATCTCGGGAAGCCTCTCCCGTGTGCCAGCCTTGTGCAAGTTGAGGGGAGGTACCACTTTCAGCTGGAGCCCTTTCTAGCTTCTGTTCCATAGCCCTGTTGTCCCACTTCCTCCCCCAAGAAAAGCCAGCTGTTCAAGACCCAACCCTGAGGCCCTGATCCAAATTTGGGCTTATTAGAACCTTTTGAGACTCCAAGAAAAATTAGACTCCTCTCTGAGAAAAAGGAGAGAACCTTTGGAATCCCATTCTTGAGTGGAAGGAGGGGTATATATGGTAGGGCTCCTGTCCCTCTAGGAGCCTCTGTCTCTCCGGGTGGGGCTGAGGAGGCGGAGTTTTGGGTTCCCTTATCTACAGAGCCAGCCTCGGCTCCCTGGTGCGGGGTCCCTCACTTCGGGCTCCTTGCCATGGGGTTTCTGCTCCCCCTCTCGTTGCTGGTTTTGCTGGCAGCAACCTACACGGAAGGTGGGAGTGCACGGAGGCACCGAGCTGCGCGGGCTCAAGGCCCCAGAGGAGGCAGCTCTCCCGCGCCCTCAGAGACCACAGCGCCATTCTGGGTGAGCATAAGCCCCAAGTTAATGACCGTGGCACCGGGGAGTTCAGTGTGGCTCAACTGTAGCAGCAACTGCCCGCTGTTGGAGAGTTCCATCCTCCATACTGGACTGAGGCCCGGCCAGACACTCAGCGGACCCAACTGGGTCTCGTTCCAGCTGCTGGAAGTAAAGACCTGGAGTTCCGACGTGCACTGCTTCATCACCTGCGCCGGAGTAACGCGAGGGGCCACGGCCAGGATCAACGCCTACAGTGAGGGATATGGGTTCATGACTTGCTGGGAACAAGGGAGGGGGACAGAGATGGGGCAGTTGACAGTCATGCTAGGGGGCGCCCGCAGACCTTTCTCAACGATCCCCTCTTGCTTTAGAAGGGCCACAGAGCGTGATCCTGGAGCCTCCGATCTTAGAGGGCCGTGAGCACACTTTGCGCTGCCACGTGACGCATGTGTTCCCCGTGGGCTTCCTGGTGGTGACTCTGCGGCGCGGCGGCCGGGTCATCTACTCTGAGAGCCTGGAGCGCTTCACAGGCCTGGATCTGGCCAACGTGACGCTGACATACGCGTTCCCAGCTAAGCCCAATGACCTCGGACAGCTCGTGACCTGCCACGCGCATCTCAATCTTGACGGCCTGGTGGTCCACAGCAGCTCAGCACCCATGGCACTGTCATTCTTTAGTGAGGCACCCTTGTAATCCTGGGGACTTGAAGAGGGGTGGGGAAGGGTTTTGACCCCAGGAGGATGCATTGACAAAGCTTGAGCTCCACGTGGGTCGTCACGCCTGTAAGTGCTCCATTCTAATAATTCTCACCTCCTACCCCCAGCTTGGAACACTACGTCCAAAGCCTTGGCTTCCACCTCCATCGCAGCCCTTATGGGGATTCTTCTCGCCGTGGGGGTGGCCTGTCTGAGAAAGTACCTACTGATGCAGTCCCGGGCTTAGAAGAGGAAGTCCGTGCGGATGAGCAGGAGAGCAAAAAGGAATCTGGAACAATTTGGAGACCTCTGCCTAGATCAATAAAGCCTTCTTCAGCCAGCCTGTCCTGCGGCCTGAAGGTCCCCCATTAGGGCACTGCCTCCTGGAAGTGGTCTTTTTAGGCCTTGTTACAATCACTTTCTCCAAGTTCCTTGTCTCCCCGAAGGTACCTGAGGTTTTCTCATGTTGGGCCACCTGGCCTCCCCAATCCCTGCGCATTTCCAGCCCATGTAGTAAACACCTCTCCTGTGAGCATTATCAGTGTGGTGCACATGGGCAAAGCCTGGGCCTGTGGGGGCCCTTGGGCTGTGGGCGGGCACCTTCACCATACGGTTTTTGCTGACTGGCTGCACTGCTACCACGCAGCAGCTCTGATTGGATGTTACGTTTCCGTCCCCTCCCCCCTTTTCACTTTTGATCCTGCACTCTCCTGGAGGACAAGGGTGGATGTAGAACTGATTCCCATAGTTCACTCGTTAGTGCTGGGGACAGGAGCTCAGAAGGGCGGGGTCACGTGGACAAACTGACAGATACGAAGAAAAGGTGCCCATGTGTTGACCGCGGTAAAGAAGCAATCAGATGGCCCACGTGGGGTGGCACTGACTCGCTTACTGACAACGTTCAGATAGTCACCAAGTCTGGTAGGCACTTGGGGGCCCGAATGCGGGGTGAAAAGTGTCACAGTTGGTCTTTTGGTCTCGTGTGGACACAGTCTGAGTCCGCACTGGATGCCTGGCAGGGCCCTCGTGGTCCAGGGCCCTGCCCACAGCGCGGAAAGAGAATTCAGGGGCGTTCTTCTGCAGCTCACGCTCGCACACGCTGAGTAGACACGTGCGGGCTGCAAGCTGGGTAAATACAGACCCCGAGCTGAGCCAACCCTAATTTAGACGCCCAAACGCTGCGCGCAAGCACAAGTGTTCCTGACTCTCTGACTTTGGTCCCCGCCCCTCTTTAGCGTGCGGGGGCGGAGCCAGAGGGGGACTAGGGGCGGTGCTGTAATCCCCAGCTTCCCCAGGTCTAAAAGGGAAGGGTCTCGGAGGGAGGCATCCCACACCTGCCCGTAGAACTGTGCCTAACCTATCCTTCTCTTCCCAGATCGCTCCAAGCCCACAAACCAATTCCAAGGGGCATTGGTGGGAAGAGCAAAATACGGGGGCGGAGCTCCGAGGCCAGCTATTTATCACAGCATCTATGCTGGGGGTAGAGTGGGAGTTTGAGAAGGACAACCCAGCAGCCACCCACCCCCCAACCTCCGCATCACGGCTGCTGAGGATGACGCGGGAGCTTGCGGCCGCCCCCAGAAGGCTCCGGGCGATGGGGCCGGCTTCCACACAGACCCCGGGGGTCGCTAGCTCCAGCTAGCACGCCTTCACCAAGGCGGGAGCCTAGCACACGCTCCCCCTCCCGCCCCTCCCTGTCGCCTCTCCTACCTCCCCCTCCTTGGAAACCAAGTTACCAACCTTAAACCAATCCCAGAGCACAATTCCGCCTCCTCCACACCCCACCCGCCCCGCCGTCCTCGAGCTCAGCTCAGCGCTCGAGCTCCCCTCTCCTCTCGCACTTTCCCGGCGGCGGCAATGCCAGGGCCCCCGCCAGGGTTGTGCTGGGCGCTACTCGTCCTCTTGGCTGCCTTGGGTCTGGGGCTCATCGACCTCTCAGGTAAGAGCCTCTCCAGGCTCCAGGTAGACAGAGCGGGGGCGGAGTTCCTGACCTCAGCCACATGCCCCTCCCTACCGCACCCTCGCCTTGCTCCCACGCTTCTGCCTCCACCTTGAGACCTGGGCTTTCTACTCTTCCTCCAACACACTGGAGACCCAGCTTCCCGACTCCTCGCTCGCTCACCCAGATCTCTACCGTGCCCCTCCGAGGTCCTGGGCTCTCTTCCGCATCCAACCTTGACCCCCGAGACCCCATGTCGCCATTGTCCCTTCCTGGGGTACCTCCTCACGCTTTGCTATGCACTGTGGTACACGGATGGGCATCTTACCCAACTGTGGTCCGCGAAGACCCGTCCTCCCTAATTGCGGTGACTCAGCGGCGCTGTTCTCTCCCCACCCGGAGCCCTGGCAACCGAGTTCTTCGATGTTCCTGCGCTACCTTCCATTAGCCTAGTCCCGCGCCCTCTTTTCGTGTTCTTCGCCTGGGTTTGGAATCCCCCTTTATCCTTGATTCCCTCTCATCTCTCCTTTGTCCTCATCTCAACCTTAGTCTCCCTTCTCCAGATGACCCAGAGAACCAGTTCGTTCCCATTCCCCCACCTGGGTTACCCTCCTGCTGGCCATTGCTTGCTGTGTGTGGAAGACCCCATCTTTCCTCTCACCATCCTTCAACCCCCCCCCCATGCTTTCCCATCACCCCATTGGCACCTTGGAGACCAAAGCTCTCCGCTGCCATGTCCCAGAGACACCCTGGAGGTTTGTACCTTGGGAGCGCACCTCCAAACCTGAGGCCTGAGCAGGACGCGGGACTCCTGAGTTCTCTCCTCACTCTGTCCTCTTCTCCTTCCCCGGGAATTTCTGACTTGGCATAGGGGCACTAAGACGCCAGGGAGATTGCTCCCCATGCTGAGCCTGCATTTCTCTGGGCAGTGGTCGCTCAGGAGCCTTTCTGGGCGGATCTGCAGCCGCGTGTGGCCCTCGTGGAGCGCGGGGGGTCGCTGTGGCTGAATTGCAGTACCAACTGCCCACGACCTGAGCGCGGCGGCCTGGAGACCTCGCTGCGCAGGAATGGAACCCAGAGGGGTTTACGCTGGCTGGCGCGGCAGCTGGTGGACATCCGAGAGCCGGAGACCCAGCCGGTCTGCTTCTTCCGCTGCGCACGGCGCACACTGCAGGCGCGTGGGCTCATTCGTACTTTTCGTGAGTTCTCAGCAGCCACGATCTGACTCCACTGCTCTGCCTTCCAGGCCCCGCCCCCTGGGTCACGAGGCCCTCCCCTTCAGGCTCCATCCTCTGGATCCCCAAGCCCTCCCCTCTTGGCCCCTGGGTACCACTACACCTACAGCTGAGACCCACGTTTCCAAGAGCCTTGGTTCCTCCCTTGCAGAGCGACCTGATCGTGTAGAGCTGGTGCCGCTGCCTGCCTGGCAGCCTGTGGGAGAGAACTTCACTCTGAGCTGTAGGGTCCCTGGCGCTGGGCCTCGTGGGAGCCTCACAATAACTCTGCTGCGGGGCACCCAGGAGCTGATCCATCGCAGCTTCTCTGCGGAGCCACCTCGAGCGCGGGGCGCGGTGCTAACGGCTACAGTACTGGCGCGGCGGGAGGACCATGGAGCCAATTTCTCGTGCCACGCGGAGCTGGACCTGCGACCCCACGGCCTGGGGCTGTTTGAAAACAGTTCGGCTCCCAGAATGCTCCGAACCTTCGGTGAGTGGGTGTGGGGAGAAGGGGATGCAGAGGGGTCGGCCCGATGCTTAAGAAGTTTGGAGGTAGAGAAATCTGAGTTCTAATCCTCACGCCAACACTCACCAGCTGAAAGCTGTTTTCCTCTCTGTCTCGAGGATAGCAGGATAAGATAGTGATTGTAAAGCACTTAGTACATACATATTGAGTGTTCAGTACTTAAGTTCAAGCTCTCTTCTCGACTCTCAGCACTGCCTCCGGAATCCCCGCGCCTCGCTGTCCCCCGGCTCTTGGAAGTGGGCTCAGAAAGACCTGTGAGCTGCGCCCTGGATGGGCTGTTTCCAGTCTCGGAGGCCCAGGTCTACCTAGCGCTGGGGGACCAGAGACTGAGTCCTGATATCACCTTGGAGGGGGACGCTCTCAGGGCCACTGCCACAGCCACAGCTAGCGCAGAGCAGGAAGGCACCAGGCAGCTGGTCTGCAACATGACCCTGGGGGGCGAGACCCGTGAGACCCGGGAGAACGTGACTGTCTACAGTAAGGGGAGTGAAGCCAGACCTCTGTGGCTTGGGGGTGGAGCCAGAGGAACGGGAAGGCGGGACAAAGAGTGGGCGGGGCCTGATAGGATCGAGGGGGCGGTGCAGATGGAGGACGAATTGTATAGCGAGGGAGGTGCACTTTCCTGAGCCGCCCTAAGGGGAATTTGGCTTGACCACCTCAAAGGGGTGGGGTGAGAAGGGGCTGAGCCTGAGCAGTTGGAGAAGCAAGGCACGGTATCCACAAAGATTTCCGGCAGGTAAGGGGTGTAGTCAATCGACTCCAGGCAAATGCTCCGCCCCCAGGCTTTTCGGCGCCTCTCCTGACCCTGAGCGAGTCCAGCGTCCCGGAGGGGAAGATGGTGACAGTAACCTGCGCAGCTGGGGCCAGAGCTTTGGTTACTCTGGACGGAGTTCCAGCTGCAGTCCCGGGACAGCCCGCCCAGCTCGAGCTGAACGCCACCGTGAACGACGACAGACGCGGCTTCTTCTGCAACGCGACCCTCGAGGTGGACGGGGAGATCCTGAGCAAGAACGAGAGCACCGAACTGCGAGTCCTATGTGAGTTGAGTTCTCTCCTTCTTCCTCAAGATCTCCAAAGATCTGACCAGTTTCTGGCCGTGTCCTTCTGGAAGTGGAACCTTCTCACGGTTCACGGGTAAACTCTCTATCCCACACCCCTGTCTGCAGACGCCCCGCGGCTGGACGATTCGGACTGTCCCAGGAGCTGGACGTGGCCAGAGGGCCCAGAGCAGGAGCTGCGTTGCGAGGCCCGCGGAAACCCAGCGCCCTCTGTGCACTGCGCTCGGCCCTCTGGCGAGGCAGTGCTGGCACTAGGCCTGCTGGGTCCTGTCACTCGCGCGCTTGCCGGCACTTATCGCTGCACCGCGACTAATGTCCAGGGCAAGGTGGTCAAGGACGTGACACTGACAGTAGAGTGTGAGTGGGGTGCACAGGGTGCATCTCTGTCAGATTCTCAGTGTCCAGAGGTGGCTAGCTTACAGGGAAGAGCAGGATCAGGATCTGAGGGATGCCTTCGGGTAGGATTTGGGGAAAGGAAATAGGTTGATGTTCCAGATTAGGGGAAGACCTTGGAGGGGAAAGGGTAGGCCTATCCATAGGGGTGTGCGAGTGTGAGGAGTCTCGGAAAGGTGTGTGCTCCAAGCCATCTAACAATGTTTTAGGCCAAACACTGGGGGAGGGTCCTGTGGGCGCTTTGCAGGAATCAGAACAAGGTGCCCCTCTTGGCTCCTGGGGACCCAAAACAGCACATGGCTTGATGGCATGAAACCCATTTGGTTCAGATTCCCTGTGCAGGGCATAGCCTGCCCAACCCTACATGACCACCTTGAAACAGAGAAGAGGGTCTAGGAACATTAGGATGATCCTCAAACCCAACAACACTCCCCTTTCCAGATGCACCAGCCCTGGACAGCGTGGGCTGCCCAGAACGTATCACATGGCTGGAAGGAACAGAGGCCTCGCTGACCTGTGTGGCACATGGGGTGCCACCACCTAACGTGAGCTGTGTGCGCTCTGGAAAGGCCGAAGTCATCGAGGGCCTTCTGCGTGTGGTCCGGGAGCACGCAGGCACCTACCGCTGTGAAGCCACCAATGCTCGAGGCTCTGCGGCCAAAAATGTGGCTATCACAGTGGAATGTGAGTGAAGGCAGCAAGGGGCAAGTTAGGGTATGTCTGGGTAACCCTGGACTGCCTTTCAGTGCCTGCGGGACCCTCTGCTCCCCAGATGGTCCCAGTTTTGAGGAGCTGAGCTGCCCCAGCAATTGGACATGGGTGGAAGGATCTGGACGGCTCTTTTCTTGTGAGGTTGCTGGGAAGCCACAGCCAAGAGTGGAGTGCATTGGCTCCAGGGGCACCAGTGAAGGGGTGCTGCTGCCTCTGGCACCCCCAGACCCTAGTGTCAGAGCCCCCAGCGTCCCTAGTGAAATTGCTGCTGGTATCTACACCTGCAACGCCACCAACCGGCACGGCTCCATGGTCAAGATGGTGGCTGTGAACGTGGAGTGTGAGCTGGGTGGCCCAGGAGGGCGGGAGTAGGGGGTGTCCCCATCTGGCTCCCACCTGACCCCCACCCCCATGGCTACTTTGCAGCACCTCCGAAAATGAATGAGTCCACCTGTCCGAGTCACCAGACGTGGCTGGAAGGGGCTGAGGCTGCTGTGCTGGCCTGTGCTGCCCTGGGTCACCCTTCCCCACAAGTAAGCTGCTCCCGGGAGGGTGCCCCCTGGCCTCAGCGGCTGCACGTGTCCCGACAGGATGCGGGCACCTACCTCTGCTTGGCCACCAACCCGCATGGCACGGAGGCTCGGACCATTACTGTGGGCGTGGAATGTGAGTGGGGGCAGCACCTGACAGAGGGACCCCCGTCCCCAGAGCAGGGACTCCCAGCAGTGGGACTGCACAGGGGAGTTCAAGGGCACCTCCCCCAGTCCCACTCTCAGGCACAAGGGATTTGGCCTAAACCCAAAGGCAGGGCGATGGAAACTCTGGGGAACAGAACCCAGCCCCCTTCGAGTCCTGGGTCAGAAGGGCACTGGGGCAGGCCCCCATCTCCTCCCATTCAGTGAGGAAGTGCAGGGGATTTTAGTACCTACTACAGCCAGATTGCAGGGGAAGGGGGCTCTGATGGGAGGCAGGATCCTCATCTGCACATCCAAGCAGGGGTGGTCTTAGATTGTGGTGAGCCTTAGGGCCACAGCTGACAATCTCCTGTCCCTGCAGACCGGCCAGTGGTGGCCGAGCTGGCTGCCTCGCCTCCAGGAGGTGTGTGGCCAGGCGGGAACTTTACCTTGACCTGCCGTGCTGAGGCCTGGCCCCCTGCCCAGATCAGCTGGCGTGCACCCCCAGGGGCGCTCAACATAGGCCTGTCAAGCAACAACAGCACGCTGAGCGTGGCAGGGGCTCTAGGCAGCCACGGAGGAGAGTACGAGTGCGCAGCCACCAACGCGCATGGTCGCCACGTGCGGCGTATCACCGTGCGTGTGGCTGGTAAGTGGCACCTGGGGTGTGGCCTGTGCCTTGGGACACCTGACCCTGCCCTTGCCCCCCTCTCAGTCCCCACAGAAGAGAACGAAGGGTGCCAGGGTAGAAGTCAGGAGCATCCTGACGGTGTGGGGCTTTGATGGCTGGCTCGGAGTGGGGGGTGGAGGGAGAGGGAGCTGAATGAACTTCAAGGGGAGGAACACTCCATGGCTGTGACTGCTGTGGGAAGTGATTTATTAACTTGCAGGGAGAGTTTCTGCCTCTTGGAGATTTGGTCCAACTATCCCTCCACTGTGTCACTGTGGAGAGGGACCAAGGGCAGAGGATGGGAGTGGGGGGCCCTTAACCAGATCCCTTCTCCCACTTCCTGTTGCTCTGAGGCTTGGTTCATTCTGAGGTAGAGGAATGACAAGATCCCCCGACACACCCTCATCGTTTGGGGGGTGAGGAGAGTTGACTCGTGGGTATCTCTGTTCAGCCAGGGGCTTACATCCCTATGTGCTGGGGTGGCGTGTAACATGGGTCATGAGTCGCATCAGCACTGGGGATGGCTGGGGCTTGGCATCTCACCAGGGTGGGGGGGACCCCAAGCTTGTCCACCCTCTTTGAGGGGTTCTACCCCGCAGGTCCGTGGCTGTGGGTCGCCGTGGGAGGTGCGGTGGGGGGCGCAGCGCTGCTGGCCGCAGGGGCCGGCCTGGCCTTCTATGTGCAGTCCACTGCCTGCAAGAAGGGCGAGTATAACGTGCAGGAAGCTGAGAGCTCCGGTGAGGCTGTCTGTCTCAATGGTGCGGGCGGTAGCACAGGCGGGGGCGCCAGTGCCCAAGGTGGAACAGAACCTGAGGGCACTGCAGAGGCGCTGGTGGGGGACGAGGTCTTTGCCATCCAGCTGACATCAGCTTGAGCCCACTCCCCTCTCCCCGCAGGCCGGGGGACACCCCCCAGACACATACGAGGGGCTTATTTTTGTTCTATTTATTCATTCCTTTACTTATGTATTCAACTCCAGGGCATCACCCCCATTTTCTACCCCCCTCAATAAAATTTTTATAAAGGACTCCAGGTCTGTGTCTGTCTCTGCAATGTTGAAGCAGCCCAGTGTTCGAATCCTAACTCCATGAGTTACTTATTAAAAAAAAACAACTTTGTTTTTGAGGGCCTACTGTGTGTGGGGAACAGTTTAAGATGTCTTTGCATGGTGTGACCTGGAGCTTCTCTCCCTACCCCATTTCTTGCACTGGCTGGACCCTTGGGCCAGGGTGGGGACCAAGTTCCTTCCTCCCTCTCCTTGCTGCTTATCTCTCAGGCCCAGCACTGCCCACTCATCTAGCTAACTCTTGGGGGTGGAAGCTAGGTGCTTCCCCATGCCTGGTTCCCGGCAAAGCTGAGGCTGCCAGGATGCATGGAGCCCCCCTCCCAGGGATCTGGGCATCCTGCCCTGAGGCCTGGACCAGATGGTAGAGGAAGGCAGTGGCTGCAGCTATGGGTGTCAGTCCCCAGGATGTCCCTGCCCCACTCTCAATGCTTCCTTTATTCAGTGCCTCAGTTTACCCCCAACCTACCTTTGGATTTGGCCCATCGTGATCCAGAGCAGACACACGGGGTATCCGCTGCAGCCCCCATGGCACACCACTACCCCGCTCACTCACCACAGCATAAGGAGAGAACAGCTGTGTTCCCCCCACCCCACCCCCTCAGTCTCCTCCTCCCTCAAAAGCAGGAACAGAGCTGCAGATGCAGGAAGCAGGGCTGGACAGCTCCAGCTCCATCAGCTGCCCTTGCAAACATTTCAAGAACCAAGGTGAGAGCAGGAAATGGAGGCACTAGAGGCCAAGCCAGTGCTGGGTGCCAAGCAGAGAAGGCAACAAGGCGCAAATGTGGTGCAGCCCCTGCTGACTGACCCCCCTCAGTCACCTCTCTCTGCTCCCACCCACCTCCTCTAGGTTCCTCGAACCCCCCAAAGTCCTGTCTGCCACAGGGACTTTGCTTTTGCCATTCTGTCTGCCTTGAGTGTCCTCACCCCAAGTAGTCCCATAGCTACTTCCTTATCCTCAGGTCTCTGTGCAAATGCCACCTCCTCAGAAAGGCCTTCCTGAGAACCATAGGGAAGGCCAGCCCCCAACAACTTATCTCCTCTTGTACTTTCTTCCCTCTGTAGCACCCCTCGCTACTTGACATTCTACTAGACATGTAATTGAATGTTTCTTTACTGCCACCCTAGAACACTGACTGCACTAGAGCAGGGATCTTTGTACTGTTCACCGTGCAGTGCCCCCCTGGGGCCTGGAACACAGTAGTTCCTCAATAAACATGGAATGAATGGCCACAAATAGCCAGGGGTTTTGCAGACACGGTCTCAGACCTTCATGTATTCAGTGTGTGCTCCTGAAGAGGTTCTCCATGCTGGACGCTGGGGAGGCCTGTCATGGTGAGGGACACAGATGTGGCGGTAACCTAGCACCTTCGTAGTCACGGTCCAGTAGAGGGGAGGAACGTGAAAGAAATGACCATGGAGAAGTAGAGATCTGAAAATTCTGGTAAGTTCTAAGCAGGAGACCAGCAAGAAGCTGTACCTGAGCCTGCCATGGGTGCAAGAGGGATGTCTGGTTTAGACTATCAGAGTCCTGGGGTGGGGGGAGGGTTCTGCACCAAGGAAGGGACCAAATGACTCGAGATGTGAGGGCTGAGGAATCCGGGCCCAGGCCTCCCGTACAGGCCCACCCAGGAGAGACAAAGGGGGACTTGCCTTTCTGGGCGTGTGGCCAGGCAAGTCTCACTCAGCCCAAGGCAGGGACCACCTCTGTGACTCACACCCCTCCCTCCCTGCCTCCCTCCTGTCCATTCCTCCCAGACGTACTGATGGTCAGTGTGCCCTGGCCATAGTGGCAAGGCTGAGTGCTGTGCACGGCCTGCCTTTCCCACACGGCCTTTGGCTTCAGGCAGGGACACCTTTTGGTTAGAAATCTTGAAAGAGGGGGAGGGGACACAGCAGGGACTGGTGCCTGTAAGAACCCAAGAAGTGACATTCTGCAGGAGGGGTGGAGCTGACAAATAAAGGGCCCACGTGTGTCTATCACTGTGTGCCAATGTGTATCATCTGTGTGTCTTGTGTGTTCACATGTGTCTGTTTTGTCTGTGTCTGTTGGCATGTGTATCTCTCACATATCCATGTATCTTTTGGTCTTGTGTGTGGTCTGTCTCTATGTGTATGTGTGTCTCATATGAGTGTTGGCACATATGTGTCTGTCCATGTGTGTCTTATGTGTGTGTTGATGCATGTCTGTCTTGTGTACATGTCTTTCTACATGTGTTGTCTGTCTGTGTGTGTGGTGGCTAATCCCCTGTCGGGGGCTGGTGCCTTTCTATGACTGTGTGTGTCCCTCAGAACCCCAATGAGAAAACGCCTGCCCCCATTCTGGGGCTGGGGGAATGGCAGGTGAGGGCACCATGAGCTGGGATCCCTGAGTCACAGCAGCCATTCTCTGAGTAGTTCTGCTCTTTATTGTTCCTGCTTTGACAAACAGCATGAGTGTCACTACTGAGAACATTTCCTGAGGGGAGCTCAGCCAACCCTGAGTGGAGCAGGGACCAAGGAGGGGGCCAGTGACCCCCCTGAGACAGGGGCTCTGGGGCCTGAGGCCTGAGTCTTCTGCCTGGTGTCCCTGAATGGGGAGAGGGCAGAGAGGAGGCAGGCTGGAGCCCGTGGGACCCAAGCTCCTTCCCCATGCCTCCTAGGAAGGCTTCTTCCCATTCTCCCCCTAGAGAAACGGAGGCAGCACAGGCTTGGCTGGGTAAGGAAGGGCTTACCCTTCCTGGGTTGGCCCTTGGTGGGGGCCCAGGGACATCCCGCATCTCCCACATAACCTCTTAGGCTGGACATTTTTCCTGGGCACCAGCCAACAGCTGGCACACCGGGTGCCGTACTTCTTGTACCTGGGGTGGGGGTATGAAATCAACATCAGGATGCACCAGGGGCACAGAAACCACTCTAGAAAACCACTTCCCCAAAGATGGGTATTTTCCCTGCCTAATACCCCATGCTAGCTACACAGGCCAATTTGGGAACCCCCACCCCAACTCCCTCCTCCGTTCTGCGGACCTGATACCACAGGCATTGCACAGGGGTGTCCCATCTTCAGCATCTCTCCAGAGTGGGGTTCTCTGGGTCCTACAGGAAGCACAGCGCCGGGGCCCTGAAGGGGTAGAGGCCAAAGGGCAGGAGTCAGAGGCTTAGAGTCCCAGCTCGGAAGGCCCATGTGGGGTGGGGAAATTTGGGAGCATCTCTGTGAAGGCCCTACCTGGCTTGGGGCCAGACCCTGGTATTGCCAGATCTAAGACGAAGGGAAAGCCAGGAAGGGAGACAGATGGCAAAGCTCTGCAGAGGAGGAAGCCGGGGGAGGGGGTGACTCAGCAGACTGAAGGGGGGCACTGAGATTCATCCAGAATGGGTCTAAATGGGGAAGCAGGGTGGGGAGAAAGGACAGGGAGGACGGAAGGTTCCCCCCACCCCTATATTTATAGTTCTCATGTCTCCAGGACTCACCCAGGGCCTCACTGCCTCCTAGGTCGGCCTCAGGGCCCCCAGTGGGGCCTGTGGAGGGCCCCTGAGAGCGGCTGCTGCAGGCCAGGCTGGGGAGTAGACAGGTATTAGTACTGGGGGGGTCTGTATCCTGTCCCATGAAGCCCCCCAAAATAAAGATCTACTATCAAGATATCAGGCACACCCTGGTCAGGTGGCTCAGTTGGGTGGAGCATTGTCTGGTACACCACAAGGTTGAGGGTTCGATCCGAGGTTGAGGCACACAGGAGAGGCAACCAAGTGATGTTTCTCTCTCACCTCAATGTTCCTCTCTCCCTTTCTCTCCGACCTCCCTCCCTTCCCCTCTTTCTAAAGTCAATAAGAAAAAAAAAAATCAATAAACATGTCCTCAGGTGAGGATTTAAAAAAATATAAGCTATCAGGCATCCCTCAGGAGTCATGTGATGCCCAGAAGACCTGGCTTTATCTCTCATTAGTAATAATAATAATAATAATAATAGTAATAATAATACTTTGAGGAGAGAGTCAGCTTGGGGTCAGCCTGACAGGTTGAAATCCCATTTCTCCCTGCCCTTGCTGTGTGACCCTGGACAAGAGATGTCTCCTCCAGTGCCTTGGTTTCCAAATCTGCAAAATGGGCTTTACAGGGCTTCAGTGAACCTATACGCATCAAATGCTGCATGTCACTGCTTACTGTTGATCCTGACAAATGATAGCTATTCTCATTATTGGGAAAAATAATGGTGGCAGCAGCAGCAGCAGCAGCAGCAGCATGCAATGTGCCTGGGCCCCACTCACAAAGGGGAGACCAGGCCCAGACTGGGATATGCGAGGCTATGGCACTACGGCCATGACTGGCACCAGTCTTGCTCAGAGACTGGGCCATTTGTCTTGCAGGGCTGGTGTAGGGGACCATGAGCCCAGGCCTTGAGGTGCCTCTCCACAGGCCTCTGCCCCTACCATTAAGTGCACAAAGGGTGCCCTTGCCGGGGCCAGTTCCTACCTGTAGCTGGGTATGATCTGTAGGCTGGCATCCGGCTTTATTTGAAACTTCAGGGTCACTCCCTCGAACCGGGGGTCCACTTTCTCAGCACCCTGGTGTGGGTTTGACTGCTTCCGGGGTCTCCTCTGGGGTGGGCCTGAAGGGGCTGAGGGAGTCCCCAGAGGCCCCAGACTGTCCCGTTGCTGGCTGATAGGGGTCAGCATGGCCCTGGTATCCCTGGCCAGAGGTGGGGGTCCCAGCACCCCCAGGGCCTTCAGCTCCCAGCAGGGCCCCAGGGCCTGGGTATCCTGGACAGGGGGCTCAGCCTGCCCCTCTGCTGTTTCTCGGAGGAAGCGCAGGGTGGTGACTGAATCCTGAGGTGCAGGCCAGAAGGATCTGGGGACAAGGGGCAGTGTGGTCACCCCTGTCCCTGGGCAGCACCTACATAGGCCTCAGAGACACGGGGCAAGGGCAATTGCATGGCCTCTGACTACATATGACCCACATACCCCTGGGGGTGAGAACCTCTTCTTTGTAAGTACCAGTAACTAACACTGCAACCCCTGAATAACCCCAGGAACCAGAGGTCATGACCCCTTGACCACTGGGTGAGACTGGGGGAAGGGGCAGCTCCTTAACGCACCTGCCACTGGGTCTGAGGCATCTTGGGGTGCTTGGCGCCTGCTGGGTGGGGGGTCCGGGCAGCGGCTCGGGGTCCAGACAGGATGGCGCCAGTAGTTCTCGCAGCATCATAGAGAGATCCGATGCTGGCTTGGCCTCCATCATGCCCCAGCCCAGCCCCCTTCCCTAATCTTGCCCCGCCCCCACGGGCCCACGGATGAGCGCCACCTGGGTGAGGCGAAACCTGGGAGGTGCAGGCGCTTCAGGCAGAGGGGGCAATGTACCCCACCTGGGTGGGGTGGGTGGATTCCGGAGGTCTGCCCCCACCCCTCAGGTCAGCCTTGGCCCTTCTTTCCCTGCCGATTCTGCTACACCCGGCCACTCCGCTCCAAAGCCTGCACAACCTGTGGTGACCAAGGGCGGCCTGGGCTCCTTCAAATCCCTCCGCGGTTGTAGGGGCGGGGCCTTGCCACGCTGAGTACGTGGGCGCTTGCGCTCAGACTCCCAGGCTGTCTTCAGGCTGGTGCCTCAGTTTCCCCGCTGGCCCTACCATTGCTGTGGGAGGGGAGAGCTGAGGGGCTAGAAGATGCAGTTGTGGAAGTGGGGGCTGCACACCCTCCCCATCAAGGACACTCAAGATGCTGGTGTTCTGTAAGATCGTTTTATTGTCACTAATTAGATTCCAACTCCATCCACACTCAGATTCTTAAGGGCTTGGAGAGCGGCCCCAGCAGGGGCCCTGTTCCCACCAGAGCCTGGACATGGGGTCTCTCTGAAACATTTGGCCTCCTGGGTGCTTCCAGCACGTCTCTCTGGCCTGTCCGTGCTCTGGGCTGGGCTGGCAACTTTGGCTTTTCCTCCAATCCTGGCCCAGGGGTCCATGGGTATCTAGGATGGTCTAGCTGCCCATGTCAGTGTGGCTTGGGGACGTGGCCGTCCACATAGAAGTTCCTGGTGATCTTGGGCAGGGTGAATTCAGCCCCTTCCAGCTCGGGTGTCAGCGTGATCTGGCAGCCCAGCCGGGAGTTCTCCTGGAGGAGGGGGGCCATGTCCAGCATGTCATCCTCCCTGGGCAAGGGAGGCAGTGGTTAGCAGCGGGCAAGCTGGTGCAGCTGGTGAGGGTCCAGGAGGGCAGAGGGCACCTCTCAGGCAAAAGAGGGGCAGGCTGACAGAGTCCAGGGAAAGTAGTTAGGGGGCAGTGCCCCTGCCAGCAGCTGGAAAGGGGAGAAAAGCTGGGGCTGCCCAGTGGACCTCTGGATATCAGGGACAAAAAGGCTCAATAGTCAATCCTGCAGCTCAGATCTGGGAGTGAGCTGCCCTGCTCACCTCTCATCAGGGGAAGGCAGAAGGTCCAGGTGGTCCTCGCTCACGTACACGTGGCAGGTAGAGCATGCCAGGGAAGCTTCACAGGCCCCTAGGGGGCAGCAAGTGAAGGGAGTATAGGTGAGTGGCATGATCAGACTGGTGCCATCCAGTGAAAGCGTGTTTCACCACATGCCCCCAATCGTTCCCTCCCTGGCCTGCATACCCCGTGTGACCTACATCCAGTCATCTGCTCAGGTGGCCGATCCTGAACTACAAATAGGTTTTGCAAAGGGATGTACAGGGTGCCCATTTCCCAAGGACTCCCCGGCAAGCTGAGGACCAGGATAGTACAAGGAACCATTAATGAGTGTGAACTTGACTTCAATGTAGCTGAGAGGAAAGGCCAGGCAGGTCCCCTGTAGCCTTTGAATTCCCTTCCTGTGACCCTGTCACTGTGCTGGGCAAATGTGTTCCTGCCTCCCTTCTGCTCCTGAAGGAGGGACTGACTCATTCAGGCCTAGTGGATTAGGGGGAGGGATCAGGAAATAAAGATGCAGAAACTGGAATTTTCTGACTGCCCCTGGACACAGTCCCAACCTTCTGATTGGTGACTGAGAACTGTGCTCAGGGATAATGGCCCTCCCAGACTAAACCCTTCCAGAGGGTTTTCACAGCCAGAATAAAACCCAAACCCCTCTACTCAGTCCTGTGTATCCTCCTACTGCCTCACTCACTCCACATCAGCCACACTGGCCCACCCCCTTGCTCAACTCCACCACCACAGGACCTTTGCACTTGCGATACCCTTGGCCTGGAATACTCTTCTTGCCACTCTTTCCATGGCCAGATCTTAAATTCAGGAACTCAACTGTCCAAGTCCCCCATCTCCTGTTTCTTACTCTCCCCCTTGTTATCTCTTATTAATTTCTGTACAGCACTTATCAGTCTAAGTTACCATGTTAATCTCTGGGTTTACCTGTCCCCTTTCCATTTGTCCTCCTCTCTCTGTACTTGACACTGAGCCTGGCATGTTGTAGATGCTCGAGACATCTGTTATAACTGAACGATGGACAGAATTCTCCTTTCTCTTCCAGACATGTCAGACAATGAGGGTAGAGATGCAAGTCAGCCTCCTGGCCCAGAAGAACCTCCCTGTCTCCTCAGGAGAAACTTGGCTCGAAACTCGAAGTAGTCTCTGGCATCCCTTTCTCAATCCTGTTTCCCACCTTGTTAGCACCCCTATCCCTTGAGATCAAGATTATCTAATATAAATGTCCCTAGTCACGTGTCAGGTACTAAGTATTACTCATGACATCTGTTTAATCTTCCATAGCTACTCTGCAAGATGGAACTAAATTATCCCATTTTATAGATGAGAAAACAGAGGCCCAGAGATGCTAAATAACTTGCTCAGGGCCATACAACTGGTAAGAGGTAAAATCTGAACACTGGCCTCTTGCCTCTAAGACTCATGTTTCCACCTGTGTCCTGAACTGCCAGCCACTGGATTCCAGAACAAAACTTGAGGTAGGCCTGCCAGGACCTGTCCCCGCCCCAGACAGCTCCCCGCTCCAATGACTAAATCAGCCCCCTATTGCATTCACCCAACAAATACCCCCGTACATTTTTCCAGGCTACCCTTCTCAGTTGCTGATGACATAATCGCATATTTACTCCCTATGAGGTTGAAATGGTGTGAAATGATAGGAGCCTTACCTATTTTGTGCATTATTGCCTGGTACACACTAATGTTCAATATTCACAGAAGAGCAGCACAGGTTTAGTGGCTAAAATTGGCTGGGTTTGAATCTAATTTTGCCACTTCACTTGGACCAGGCCTGTGTAACCTGGGGGTCAATTTCCTCACTTATAAAATGAGATAATCTCCTCTACTGCATAAAGTTGTCATGAAGAGTCAATCAGTTAATCTGTGTTAACATGTTTAAAGTAATGTCTACTATTATTATCTTTCCTTCAACAAATACTCATTTAATACCTGTTGTATCTAAATGCCATGATGGGCAAAAGACATGTGTGAACAAGGCATACAGGGTTTCTCATCTTACTCTGGGGAGAGATGACAAAGAAGGAAATGAAACGGTGAGAAGGGCTATGAGGATAATAAAACACAGTCATATGAGAGAGCCCAGGGAATGAGATTGTCACGAAGGTGAAATTTACACTCAGACTTGAAGTTTGAAAAGAAACCAGAAGATCTGGTGGAAAATCACTTCAGACCCTGGGAGGAGAAAATGCAAAAGTCGTGAGGCAGGAATGATGTGGGCAGTTAGAAGGATAGTAAGAAAGGCAATGTGGCTAGAATCCAGGAAGGAAGGAGAAAGACAATACAAGCTCCCAGAGGGTAGGAGTTTTAGGAACGCCTAATAAACATAGGCTGCAAGAATAACATTAAGAGCTGGGAGAGGGTGAGGCAGTGGTGAGGAATCTAAATTTAAGCCAGGGCTGGTGGGAAGCCATGGGAGGATTAATCAGTGGACACATCTGATTTGTGGGGTTTTTTGTTTTGTTTTGTTTTTAACGAATGGTAAGGGCCTCTGAAATTCCCTGTGCCTGGTTCCCACCTTCCAGATCCACCCCATGGCGCTGGGCCAGGTGGAGAACATTGTCCCCGACTCTGCCTCTCACAGGAATCCGTTGGCCTGACCGGTCTACGAACACCACGTTCACCCTGGGGACACACAGGGATGCAGATGCCGAAGTGCATAATGGCCCAGGGTTCAGATGGAATCTAGGGTTAGGAAGTCGGGCTTGGGCCTGACGGACAGGGAATTTGGACGGAGCAGAAGGGGACCCAAGGCTAGAGGATAAGGTAGGAACTAGGAAAACCTCGTGGGATGAGGAATGGAGGACATGCCGCCCTCCCCACCCCCCCACCCCCACTCACACATCCCCGGGCCGCTCGGGGCCGCTGGCTTCTTCCTCCCCGGCTGAAAACGAGCCTGGAAAACACAGTTGGGTGAGCCACGCACAGCGCCCTGTAGGCATTCGGCGGGTTAGTGCTGCTCTCCCCACCCGTTCAGGCGCCCCAGATACCTGTCACCCAGAATTTTCTGGCTGTCGCTGGCACCGCAGCCTCCCCGGATCCCCAAAATCCCCCGAATCGGCTCCACCAGGGACCCTTGGCCACCCGTAGCAAGAACCCGGCATTTGCGCCACCTCGGGTTACGGAGGCGGCCATGACAGGCACCACGTGACCCGAAACAAGGCATGCGCTGTAGCGCACACAAACACAAAAAGACCCGTAATCACCTCAATAGGAACGCAGAGGTCTGTGTGGGGAATGAACTATGGTTAGGAGGCCGGGGAGCGGCGGCAGTCTCCGGCGCACCAATATTTGCGGGGGCCATTCCAAAACCCCCCACCCAAGCCCATTGTCTCAAGAATCAGCCAGCTCTGCTTTCTTTAAAACCATTTACTTACAAACTTTAATTCAGCAAAGGTCTGTGTGAAAGGGTTGGGGAACTCCCTGAAGTGGATGTAGACCCCGAGTGAGAAGAGGGATGCTGGTGGCCTAGTAGGTCAGGGGCAGGGCCCAGGGTCACTTCAGGCTAATAGGTCCTGCTGGTGGGCAGGGGCAGAATTTGTCTGCATGGAGTTGTTGGATTCTGGCAATGGGCCAAGGGGAGGCCAGGTCACCTGGGGATGGAGAAGTGGAGCTCACCTTCAGCAAGTGGGGAGCTAGCAGAGGCTCAGTGAGATGCAGTGCCTGACTCCCACAGACACAGAACAGGGGATCTGGTTGCAGCTGGCAGAGAAAGCCTGTCTCTGCACCTAGGCCTGGGCAGAAGGAAGGTGGAGGTGGTGTGCCATGACCAAGGCTTTGGCCTTCTACTGTCCCCAGGGTGGGGATCCTGGGTAGAGGGATCCTCGCCAATCCCCAGGCCAGAGATGTTTGGTCCTGAGTCAAGCTTCCAGAGCTTGGCATCTGAGGCTCTGGCCAGCGGGGCCTGGGGCTCAGCTTTAAGGCATCAGAAGGCAAGGGGAGTGTGGCAAGGAGTGGAGCACCCAGAGCTGGAGCACACGCCAGACTGGGCAGGGAGGGGCAGGAGACAACCATGCCTGCAGTAGACATGCGAGGAAGAAGAAAGGACTGAGCCATTTCAAACCAGAGTGTAGAATGGAGGCCCAGAAGAATGTTGACCCTTGTAGGTTTAAGAGCTGGGGGTTATCCTGGATTGTTTAAAAAATATTAAAAATTAGAAAAGGAAACAAAAGTCAATTGTCAAAGTTAAAAAAGGGGGAGAGTCTCTGATCCTCACGGGAGGCTAGGGAAACCTCCAAGGCACTCGAAAGGCCAAGATACAGGAGTAACAAGGCAGGAGAGGACTCCCAGAGAGGCAGACGTAGGCAGACACAGGGGAGGGCCAAAAGGGGCCCTGGCCTGCTCTCTCTCTTAAGGCTGCAGGGTTTCCAGGCCAGGAGCAGGCCAAAGATGCAGAGTGGCCCCCAGGCTCTCCCACACTCCTCGGGCTCCAGCTGGTTGGTCAGCAAAGTCTTTCAGAGATTTTTCTATTACTGAGAGGAAAAAACGAAAACAAAAAACACAAAACACCAGAAAATCCAAAAGCGATTTGGTGCAGGCCCTGGAGCATCTCTGGCACTGGCCCCTTAGAAAATCCTCTTGCGCTTCAGGTATGAATCTGCGTAGTGGCCACCAAGGCCTTGGGAATGCTGTCCCACGTAGCTGCCTTCTGGGCTGGGTTCTGGTGAGGGCAACAGGTGGGCAAAGCTGCGTTTCTGGCCGCCCAGTGGTGTCTGGAGACAAAGGGGAGGGTGTGGCAAGTCAGGGGCCACCTGGGGGGAGGGTCACCATTCCCCAGCCCTGTGTCCCCAACCCCTTGCCCGTACCTTCAGTAGGTGGCTGTGGCCATTGGGCCCAGGGCTGAGGCCCAGGAGCCCTTCTCCGGAGCCCAGTGGGGAAGAACCGACAGCCTGGCAGAAATGGGAGATGGGAAGGAGAGGAAACATCCCCCAGAACAAAGGCCAGGGCTTCAGGTTCAAATCTGGTCTCTTGACCAGCCATGAGATCAAGGGCAAATTAATCCCTCTCCTTGAGCCTCAGTTTTTTTTCATCTGTCAACTAGGGCTAATACCACCCCATCCTCTGGGCTACTGGGAAAGTGAGCAGAGGCCCAAGGCTGGGCAGCACCAGGTGCTAGACACACAGGTGTGGGAAGGATGGCCTGTTTTAGTTGGGCCCTGAGCAAAGCTGACCTCTGCCGCCACCCCAGCCTTAACTTTGGCACTGAGAGGGTCACAGGGGTCCCCTGCATTGTGGCTATCCTTGAGAACCTGTGCTCAGCTGGGGGAGGCTCCTCACCTTGTTAAGGTGGCTCTGCTTGAGGCCAGCCTGCAGGCCGCTGGTGAAGTAGGAAGTGGGTGAGCCGGAATAAAAGTGAGAGAGGGATCCCTCACCGCCCCCACCACTCCGTTCGCTGAAGCCACTGGGTGGAGGGGACATCTGCAGAGAGGGGGCCAGCTCAGTAAGGCAGACTATTGCATTACCCCACCCCTTTTGTAAACCACCCCTAAATTTCTCTGAGCGTTGCCATATGACTAGCTTTGGCAAACAGACAGCACGAAGATGCAAGCAGAGGGACCTGCCCTCCCTTCTGCCTCTGAGGAACCACAGGCTGTTCTGCTGGCAGTGAGCTCCTCGTGGAACAGAAACACCATCCTAGCTAGGCCCCCAGTCAAGGCCCATTCACCATCCTACTGACCTTCAGATATGACTAAAGTCACTATGGAATGCTAAGCCCCCAGGTGACTGCAGAGAACCACCCACCCACTGCCCTCCAGAATGGTGTGAAATAATGTTTGCTATTCTAAGCCATAAAGTGGTAGGACCACCGGTTACACAGCAAGAGCTAACTGATACACCCAGGAGGTGGGATTCGCAGGGCACCTCTTACTTTGTGTCGGCTGGGTCTGTGAGGCCCGAGGGCTGGCTCCCGTGGGTGGGAGAAGAGCCGCCTAGGTCCCACATCCTGGAAGTGGGAGAAAGTGTTTTGGGTTGGGGTCTGCGCCAACATCACTCCTAGCTGAACTGCCCAGCACAGATGTCATTAGGGAAGTCTGCCCCTTCCAGTATGAGACAATTCTAGTGCATGGAGCAAACTCGGCCTGTGGCATCGGGCAACAAGACAAGATGTGCTCTGTCCCAGGGGGTGGTTCCACCTCAGACCCAGTGATGACTGCAGTGAAGTCACGTGGCCCCAATGGAGCCAGGTGTTTGGAGTTTTCAAGGCAAGCTGAGCATCAGGGTTGTGTGAACACTTGCAGTGTTTACATGTATATGTTGGTATCAGCATTTATTTCAGTTGTTATTTTTTTGTAATCTGGTGTAGGCTAAACATAACACAGGTGGCCTGCAAGTGGCCAGTCTGAAATGTCTGACCTGGAAGACACTGGAGTCACAGAAGGAACAGTTCCCCAGGGACAGAGACAGGGATCTCAGAGAGGAGGAGAGAGAAAAGGGCCAAGAAGGCTGGGCCCTGTCTCTAAGGAAAAGCAGAAGTGCAGCCTAAGGCCTCTTGGGAGAGAAAAACAGACAGGAAGCAAGGTCTGATGGGCAGAGACAGAGACATGAGACTGAAGGGCAGAGACTGTGCCTGACATGTTCCCCACTGTCTCCCCAGTGCTTGGCCTGCCACAGTCAGTCCTAGAGAAATACTGGTTTAGCGAATGCCTTGCTCTCAGGGGACAAAGGGCCACAGCAGCCGCCTTCAGGAGGGCTGGCCACAGGGCAGGCTGATACTCACCGAGGGGTAGTCAAAGCCATAGTTGTCAGGGAGCCCTGGTTCAGGGGACAGGTGGGTGCTGGTGAGGTGGCTGAGCAGGCGGGACTTGAGCTGGAAGGCTTTGCTGTTGCCACTGCCTCCGCTGCCACCTCTGGGCGCTGGAGGATTAGGCAGGGGGCCCTCAGCTGGACGGCGGCTTCTTCCAGTACCTCCCCAGCCCCGGGCCTCCTTACCCGCCAGGTTGCTGGCCGGGAGCAGGCTGTGTAGGTTCAGGTAGGGGTTCAGGGGGATACGGAAGTCCTTTGGGGGCTCCCCAAGCAGTGAAACCTATGGCAAGAGGGCTGGATTTGCAAGGGTCCCTGACAGGGGAAACACTGCAGGGCAGGGAGCTGTAACAGTGCTGGGCACAGGGCAGGACCTTACCCCGGGGGGCGTTGGCAGAGGTCCACTGTCTTTCTGGAGGCCCCTGAGGCCAGTGCCTAGGAGCCCCACAGGGGCAGGGGATGGAGTGAGCTGGGCTGCTGGGGGACCCAGGCCCATGGTTTCCCGATCACCCGAGGAAGGGCCGAGCAGTGGCGGCAGTAGGGGTGGTGGCTTCCCTCGCCGGGGTGGCAGCTCTGGGGGAAGGCTCCCTCCTACAGAGAGGAGGAAGGTATCAGTGGCCCAGACACACAGGACCTTTCCTTCCCAAGGTCCTAGCACATCTGCTTGGACAAGGGTAGACAGGTGAGGGACAACTATGTCCTGTGCACTGAGCAGAGTCCTGTGAGTGCATCAACTCCAGAATGCTCATGGAAGCCCCCAGGAGGTGGGTACCTGGCTGACAGACACTGAAACCCAAAAAGGTTAGGACACTTGTCCAAGGCCATACAGCTGGAAATAAACATACCCAATGAGTGAGGGGGAAGCAGGATGGGCCCAGAGATGATGAGGGAGCAGGGTCTGTTACCTGCAGACAGCTCCCCAAGGAGGGGGTTGGCCGACTGGGACCCAGGTTGGAGGGTGCCCAGGGGAGAGTCTCCCAGGATCCCGGGCTTCTGGGGATAGAACAGAGTCAGCTGGAGATGGGGGCAGTGTGGCCTGAGCAGCAGACAGGTGTTGCCCAGGGCCTCAGCAGTGACAACACCCAGCACACCCAGACTCCAGCCCATGCTTGGTCATGTGTCCCCCAGTGTCTGCAACTCCCTGGCTCTCACCCATCTGGCCAGCCAATGGTAGCCAAGGGCCTCCTGCATGCCAACGCCCATGGGAGACCTTGGGGAAACCAAGGGAACATGGACCACGCATTCAGCAGTCAGGTGCTATCACCCCACACTGTGAGTCCCTCTCAGACATACACAGTGACAATCCTCAGGCACCCACCACCCCACATCCAGCCCCCTTGCTGATTAGCACGGAGGCAGGCATTCTTAGCTACCCATGGACTTAGTCGGTCTCTTAGGCAGACAAA